CTTTAGCTGAAGGAATACCTGCAACAATTGAGAACAGACTTTCATGCATAAGAGAATAAATTGTGTCTAAAGCCTTATCATTGTTTCCAGCGTTGGTTATCTCTGTTTGAGTCCACTCGGTCTCAGGCTTAGCTACTTCTGTTCCGTCAGTACTGGAACTGGGTTTAGTGGGATGTGTCCAACCTGCCACCACAGACCGCCACACGGCTTCACCTTGAGCTTTAAGATGCGTACAGGTGCGAGCCTTCCAATATGCATAGTTGTCACCGGTCAACTAGGGAATGATTTTAGTTCGATCCATTCAGTAACACTTAACACCCCGTGAGATCAAACAAATAAGCAACAAACAGATAAATAAAAAGAGCCGCTGAAGAGATGAGTTCAAGAGGCACAGATTCGCCAGATCGATAAACTAATAAATTAAGTCTACAGGCTCTGATACCAATTGAAATTGCACCGTGACACTTGAAAACCAAAAGCAATGTATTTTTACTTGTTATTTAAGTTATGCACCAGTTACGTTCATTAATTAAACTCGTTTAAGCAAGTGTAAATAATAATTGCAGAAAGCATAAAGTAATGTAAAAACACAAAGAAATTGTTACGCAGTTCAGAGCTCCTTCTCCTACGTCTGCGGGGCAACCCACATCTGCCCAATCCACTATAGATGTTCACCAAAAGGAGTATTACAAGAGGTAAATGTAGATGGCCTCCAGCCTTTACCACTACCACTCTTTCTAACACCTATCCAGGACTGACATACGAATACCCGAACAATCTTCACAAGATACTTCAGTAGTACCACGTACTGATCATGTAGTACAGATTAAATATTCTTAAGAATTAAATATAGAACATATTAAAATAGGAAGCTTTGCAAATCAGATGTGTGTTCAGTATATTAATCTCAAAAATCAGCAATGTCTTCTTTCGGACAACATCCTTTTATAGCAGATATTGAGCTTCATTTGTGATCCTTAAATGTAGCCTTTTTTCTTGTTCGAATAAACCTCATCCATGTTCTTTTTTATTTCTTTGAAAGCTTCATACGTAGACTTCATTCTCCAAGACATACCATCCCACACATTTAGATATCACATGATCCAAAATAGAATTAATTCTAACAACTCTAATTAATTTCTTTAATTAAAAACTAATAAAGCTACTACTAAATAACATAGCCAATAAGTTTAATGTGTAAATAATTTTACACTTACACAAATATAATGAAATTGCCTGTAGACTAAATTCCATCACATTACATACAATTAATCACAAATGATATGTCTAAAACTTTATGTGATCAAAATAATCCGCTTAATATATACAATTTTAACAGATTAAGGATGTTGTGGCTACTCTCAAACCAAATTAAAATTATAAGATCAGTAGACAATTATCAATTTATTGCCTAAACTTTGTGTGATTGAAACTAAACAATCTTAGGTAGCTAAATATGCGGTAGCATTTCCTTAATTAACCAAGATTGAAAACTCAAGATATTCCAGTAAATTAAAGATGCTATGACTATTTTTTAAAGGACCAAAAACAAATCATATTGGCAAGGAATACTTAAAATTTTGACAAACAGATTATACCAGATTGTGATGGGAAAATCTAAATATACTCCTAGAAAAAGTGGTTAGAGACAAAGACTCATTGAAAACCAATTTCTTAGGTAGAGTATCAATTTAAGGAGACTAGTGGCACAACTTAAAATTAAACATTAAACTCATATATTCCAAATAAATTGCATAACTTAAAGCAATTTACAATATTATATTTCAAAGTATAAACTCAATATTCAAACACCAATGAGTCCAAACCAAAAGAGACCCAACATTTTGAATAATAATGTATTGGATATATACTTTAATTTTTTTTTTTAACTGTAAGCCCATGCCAAAAATGTTTTAATGCATAAAGATCAAATTGATGAGAAATAACTGAATTTACAAGTTTAAACAATATCAAACCAAAAGGATATGCTATCATTTGTAAATCAAAATCTCACAAACTCTAATTGCATAATTAAACTTAATATTATACACTTAATGTGATCGAATGCATAAAACAATCTACAGAGTATGAACCAACTAAAGAATATGAATTTAAACCAAATATTCATTTATTCATACTTAACCAAATATGGGCAATCATAATTCAAAAAAACTAAATGAATTATGGAATTAATGGCAAAAGTCAATTGCCTAGAAAATATGTTTTTCCAAAATTACTAAATTGATTCAAAATCACTCTCCATAACTTAATTAATAATAATATTATTATTATTAGCAAAATTTCAAATAACCAAAATAGCAATAAATAGTCATACTAATATTATCACATTAAGTAGGAAACTAAATATGGAAAAACAAAGGTTAAAACCGCTAACATTTGTAAACGTTTTTGGATAAAATTTTGAAAACTTAATAAAATTTGAAGTCCAAAAAACCTTAATGTCAAGGAAATTATTTTCTGACTGGAATATTGTCATATAAATTTATTTGGAAACAATTTAAGATACATATCTGAACACCATAACAATATTAATCTTATCATTAATTAATTATTAATAGCAATAAGTAACATTATAATCACTATTAATATTAGTAATTACAAACTAAAGTATGGTAATGCACTTATAATGTTTTCATTTTTCTAAAGATAAAATATGTGACTAGTCCAAATTAGCGGTTAACTGTAACTGTAGCACTAATGATCAATAATAACCGTAAAAGATAATTAATGGCTAACCTTAATTGTGCAGACTGCATCTCCCCATTGCGCTAACAACGATGATGATCCACAGGAGAAGAAAAAACTCCAGAGTTCTCTCATCTTCACTGTCAGTGTCAGTAGCCTCGATGCAGCGTCCAATGGTACATTTAAAAATTTATTGGTAGGGCTTAATTACCAACATTAATAGTCATGTGAAATGAAATGGTAATCATGCCAATGTACCAAATATAGCAGATTACCATGAAATAATAATTATTATGAAAGGTAATAAAATAAGATTAGTCCCTAAACTTAATAACAGTAATTAATAATGCCGAATTTAACTTAATAAATGGCAAAATTGTAATTAAGGGATGCCAAATACGAATCTCAATTTTACCACATAATAATTAACCATGACTATTATGATACTTAAGGAGACTGAAGCTAAGGTAATAACCAAATTACCATTATACAGACAATATAACAACTATATTGCTTTTGCCATAAAATTAAAGACTTAATATCATTAAGGCCCTGAAAAACTATTGATAGATTAAAAATTAATCAACTTAAATAATAGTTATAATTCTTAATGGCCAAAATAACAATTAAATCCTTAATGTCTCAAAATAGGCCAAGACAATAATTATAGCACTTAATCACTCAAATTAGGCTCATAAACTTCAATGGCCCAAGTGAACTATAACATGAATGATAAATGATCTAGTACTGAAATAGACCAACTTAATATTATTACAAACGATAAATACAAAAATATGGTAAAATATGTCATTCAAGCATTACCCTCTTTCGCTATGATGGTTTTCCTGTTACCTGTGGGCCTTTGTAAGGAGCTGGAGACTATGATGAATGAGTATTGGTGGACCGGTTGTGTTGGCAATGGCAGAGGGATACGATGGAGAAGCTGGGATGGCTTATGTTTACCTAAGAAGTATGGGGACATGGATTTTAGAAGAATCAGAGACATGAATTTGGCCCTACTTGGAAAGCAGGCATAGAGACTTCTCACGAGGACAAACTCTTTTGTAAGTCGTATTTATAAGGCACGTTATTATCCTACCACTTCGTTCTTTCAGGCGGAAGCTGGTAGTAATCCATCGTTTGTTTATTTGGAGAGGGTTGCTAGAGGCAAAGGAGTTGTTGAGAAAGGGTTGTCGTAGAAGTATTGGTGATGGCCGAGCGACCAAGTTTGGAGAGGATCCTTGGTTACCAGATGTGCTGAAACCGTATGTTACAACATCACTACACGAGTCAGTTACCATTACTCCGGTCTCATCTTTGCTCAATGTTGGTGGGACTGGTTGGGACTATGATTGCTTTCGGGACATTTTTTATGCTCGTGATGCGGCACTTATCATGGAGCTTCCTTTGGGTACAAGATTACCTCCTGATTCATGGTACTGGGCCGATGATCATAAAGGGAATTATACGGTACGTTCTTGCTATCGGCGGCTAGTGGGGGAAGCGAATGACTCGCGCCCGTGGGCGAGAATTTGGAACTTACACGTCCCTCCAAAGGTGAGGAGTTTTTGTTGGCAGCTTGATTTTGAGTATTTACCTGCTCGTGATTTATTGATTAGAAAACGTGTTGCTTGCCAGATAACTTGTCATTTGTGCCATCAGTTTGAGGAACCTGCCTTGCATCTGTTTGCTACGTGCAGTGAGACAGTAAAGGTTTGGGCTGCTCTTGGCTTATCAATCGTGGCCACCGAAACTGGTAATGTCTCTGCTTGGTTTTTTGAGAATCTTAGTACATTAGATGGTGATAATTTATGCAAATTTGTAATGGCGTGCTAGGGTTTGTGGTGTAGTAGGAATGATTCGGTGTGGAGGAATGTTCCGTACTCAATGGATTTGATGTTGCGTTATGCTCTGTCTTTGTGGAGTAATTGGAAGTGTGCGAATGAGGAGGAAACACCCACTGGTCAACAAAGTGTAGAGGAGAGTTGGAGGCCCCCGTCCTTGGGCCGTATAAAGTAAAACATTGATGTCGCAATGAGTTCTACAAGCGGCACCATGGGTATGGGATGGGTTATTAGAGATGAAACGGGGGCTCTCATTGCTGCGAAGAGCTCAAACTATGTGGGGTTTTATGATGTTAAAGAAGCCGAGGCGGTGAGTATAAGGGAGGCTCTAAGTTGGGTCTAGGCTTTGGATTATGGAAATATTGATGTGGAAACTGATTCCCAGATTGTTTTTCATGCTTTATCTTTGCATTCTTATAACTCGCCTTTTAGTTTGTTAATTGATGATGTTTAAGAGGCTGCATCTTTGATACATGATGTGGTCTTTAGTTTTGCTAGGCGATCTGCGAATCGTGTTGCCCATGCTCTTGCAAGGGAAGGCGTTTCTTTGTCAGGTTGCGGGGAGTGGTTCCACATTCCTCCCCAGTTTCTTGCGAACACTCTTGGTTCTGAATTAATACATTAAGCTCTTATTCTCAAAAAAAAATATGGTAGTTAGTAATAATTAAAACTTAATAAACATGTTATAAATTCAAAAGGAGCTATAATTATTATTAAAAGAGCAAATACCAATTTTGGTCCTACGAGTATTAACAAAATGACAATTTTGGTCCCACATGTTTAACAAAATGACAATTGTAGTACCAATTTTCATCCACGACTATTGTTTTAGTGCCAAAATTCATCATGTCGGTCACCCATCCATTTAAGACATGCCGAAATCTAAAATTTTTAAGGGTATTTTCATCCTTTTCAACTTAAGATCCAAATTTGAGCATGAATAAAGAGATTTAATTCCTAAGATTCATCCCAATTCGCAATTTTCCTCATCATCCTACCTTAATTTGAAAAGGAGAACTGCGAATTCAGATCAATCTTAGGGCTTAAATTCATTTATTCATGCTCAAATTGAGATCTTAATTAGAAAATGATGAAAATACCCTTCATAATTTCATATTTCATCATGTCTTAAACGAAGTGGTGACCGGCGTGATGAATTTTGGCACTAAAACAATAGTCGTGGATGAAAATCGGTAGTAAAATAATAGCTAATGCTTATCGGTCATTATTTTGTGTACCGTGGTCCACAAAGGTCCAAAAATACATAAAGTGTATTATTCTAACTCATAAAATACATGATTCTAACACATAAAGTATATTATTCTGTCTCATAAAATATAGGCTAAAATGTCATCCGGCACCATGAACTATATCGGATTATTCATGCCGCACCCTGAACTTTCATAAGGTATATTTTGATCCATGAACCAATAATATTTTTTGGAAAAAGGGTCAAATAGGCCCTCGAACTTTAGCTTAAAAGTCAATTAGGCCCCTAAACTTTTTAAAGGTTCAATTACACCCATCAACAATTCATTTAGGTGCAATGAAGCCCAAAAATAAGTTAATGACCTGCTATCACAAGTCATTAGGGTTCAGGCCACCTTCTGGTGAATTTTCCGACAAAAAAAAGGTGACCAGCAACTGACCCAGATTTGCTAAAAATTTTGCCGAACACTTCTTTTGTCGAAAACTTCGCCAGTCACTTTTTTGTTTTTTTGCCAGAAAATTCGCCGGAAGGTGGCCTGAACCCTAATGACCTTTTGATAGCAGGTCATTAACTTGTTTTGGGGCTTCATTGCACTTAAATGAATTGTTGATGGGTGTAATTGCATCTTTAAAAAGTTTAGGGACCTCATTTGACTTTTAAGCTAAAGTTTGAGGGCTTATTTGACCCTTTTCCCATTTTTTTTTCATCTATCAGTTTTTACAGGTTACCTACAGGTTGCAGGTAATTTATGCTGACATGGATTTTTTTTTAATTACCAAGGGCGTTGTCCATCACGTTCTGCTTGTATATAAAGAAGTAGCCATCGTCTAGGAGCTCCAGCTGCCACTGCTCCTTCAATCTCTCAAGCTCTTTCCTCAACTCCCCTACGTTTTCCGACGGGTTCACCTCTACCGGAAACTTCTTCGTCTCGCATTGCGACGGCACCAATATACGAAGCTTCTTCCATTCGAACTGTTCGTGTTCTTGGATAATCCAGATGAGGCTGTTGTAGTCGCGGGTAATGGCCTAAAGCTCACGTCCACTTTGGAGTGATCGGAGAGTTCGTAGTCATGCAGTGTCCAATAGTCTAACAACTCAACTCCGTTCGTGTAAACCATTATTCTACTCACCGGAATGCCGTCCGTTTCTTCAATCCTCTCTTTCAACTTCCTAATGGTATTGGTGGCCGCGGCGGCAACATGCATCTCCTGCTGTTTGTCTGTATCTGAATCTGAGGCGGCCACGACTAGCTGGACGTGGGAATGTGATCCTCTGACCATTTTTCATTCCCTTATCGCCAAGAACTTCCAATACCTTCTTCTCCTGCACAACCTTCTCACCCTTGCATTGCCGGCACCTGTTTTTATCGCTAATAGTTTTGCCAGTTCCCTTGCATTCATTGCAGGGATGTTGAAAGGAGGCTTTTATGTCAACCCTGAAGCTAAGCTGATGTTCATCATTCGCATCCGTGGGTATGAACACTCTTCTATTTTGTGTTGATCATACAGTGCTACAGTTCCTTTTAATTTACATCAATTCATTTATCTTGCTTCTCATGTGATGGATTCCAGTATCAATGCCATGCACCCAAATACTAAAAAGATATTGCAGCTTTTCCGTCTAAGACAGGTGAATGGTCTATTACTTCTTTGTAGAAAATTTTCTATGTAATTGTTCTGATTCATCAACTTGATTTCAAAGGTACCCAAATTTGAGGAGTGTAAGGGAATTGATTTACAAGAGGGGTTATGGCAAGGTGAGCAAGCAGAGGAATGTCTTGACAGATTATAACACTGTTATTGAACAAGTATGCTTGCTTCCACAAGTTAAGTTGCATTTTTTTCGATAGACTGTGCCCACTTTATGGATTCTTTTTTATTTTTCAGACTCTAGGAAAACTAGAGCATGTCATTGAAGCACCGGATTTCAGATTTGGACCCTTTACCCTTGCACTTTGGGCATAGCACATTACGGGACAGGCATAGCTTCTTCGATCTCGAACTTTAAAAGGGTGGTTCTTGATTCTGGCTTTACGGTAAGTCTTCTTGAGATCGTTCTTGTGAACTCCCAAGATCTAATAGTATTAGTGTTATCGCTCTTCTTGGGCGCTCTCCCAAACATCTTCTCCTCCGATTTCTTCGAATAAAAAAAATAGGGGAACGATTGTGAGAGTGTGGAAAGAAAGAAGCACATATGGGGAATCCTTCTCTTATTGAAGTTGCAGCAATGGACGGTTCAGATTTACTAATTTTATGCGGCCTATAAAAAAGTAGTATGAGCTATAGGAGTTGACTTAAAAAAGGTCCACAACTAATAACTTGTGCCATGTCAGCATAGTAACATGAAAACCTGTAAAAAATGTTAGATGAAAAAAAATTATTAGTTCATGGATCGAAATATACCTTATGAAAGTTCAGGGTGCGGCATGAATAATCCGATATAGTTCATGGTGCCGGATGACACTTTAGCCTAAAATATATTATCATACCCCAAAATTTTCATTATTCTAACACATAAATACATTATTCTAACATATAAAGTACATTATTTTAATTCATAAAATACATTATCTTACCCCCACAATATTTATTATTCTAACATGCACGCGGAGTAAGATTTTTTTTTTTAACATCAAAACGACGTCGTTTTGGACCATGGTCCACACAATAATTTGTCAATGTTTATATCATGCGTTAGGGTTTACCTTGTAAGATAACTATAGTCGAACTATTTTATCTCCTTAATTTTTTTATCGTTTATTTTTGTACAAATAAAATTAATTTATAAAAGGGTGAATCAACGATTTGGTCCCTCACTTATTCGCGACTTGTCAATGTTGTCCTTGAATCACGTATTCATCGATTTAGTCCCCGAAAATAATTGTTTTTCGTCAAATCAGTCCCTATGGCCGTATTCCGTCAAGTCTCAGGCGAGAGCTCCGATTTGCCCTGGGCATTTTGGTCTTTTCACGCCTTCTTCTTCATTAATTCTGACCAAGCTTCGCCGGAGAAGCTCAAGCTCACCGGAGGGAGCTCCATCTCTTCTCTTCCCCACCCCAAAGCCTCCGGTGACCAAGTCTCACAACGTCGGAGCTACGAACCTCTCCGCCGAGAAAATAGTCTCTGGGTCCTCTCTATATTTTGTCTCCATTCGCCGTTCTTTTGATTTGAGGTTTCTAGGTGGGTTGCGTTTAACCATTTCAGGTTCTCCGCAATAATCAATCTCCTCGAGGTTATCTTTCTTGTCTGTCAAGTGTTAATGGAGAATCTTTGAACTTCTCTTCAAACGGTGCGTTTCAATACTTTTTCCGCAAAGGTATTTTGATTCGTTTCGAACACTGTTAAAAAGACTGGCTTTTGCTTCTTTTTTTTTTTTCTCTGTTTCATCTTCTCTTCTGTTCATAGTAAGGCTTGATCAAATTCGTCGATCTAGAGTGAGTTAAGAGAGCAGTGGGTTAGCTAAGCTCAGGGTACTCTAGCGTTTAGCCTGTCTTTAATCATGGCAATGGTGGAGAATGCTTCTCAGGAAACGGTGGTTAACGGCGGCAGAGCTGACGGTGATCAGCCGAAGAGTAACAGCGGTAACAATCTGATGTCGGAATCCAATGGCTTGTACATGAAGGCCCATCCTTTCCAGGCGCATGATAGCAACAACCAGCTGCACAAGGAGCGGTTGGATGATCAGCCGCCGATGAACGATGGCAGCAGCGGCGGAGAGGTCGATGTGAACGGCAGTGAGACTTGGTCACCGGAGGCTTTGGGGTGGGGAAGAGAAGAGATGGAGCTCCCTCCGGCGAGCTTGAGCTTCTCCGGCGAAGCTTGGTCAGAATTAATGAAGAAGAAGGCGTGAAAAGACCAAAATGCCCAGGGCAAATCGGAGCCTTCGCCTGAGACTTGACGGAATATGGCCATAGGGACTGATTTGACGAAAAGCAATTATTTTCGGGGACTAAATTGATGAATACGTGATCTAGGGGCAACATTGACAAGTCACGAATAAGTGAGGGACCAAATCGTTGATTCACCCTTTATAAAAATATATTATTAAAAAAATTCGAATAGAGAACTTTTAAATAACACCATTTTGATTTTTTTTTTCAATGAATAAATTTATAGGTACATAAATTCACTATGTAGGTACATAACTTTATTATTGTAGGTACATAAATTTATCATTGTATGTTCATAAAATTACTACTACAAGTTCATCACAAATTGTTAAAACGATATATTGAAAAACATGTTATTATGTGTGCCATTTAAAATATTTCAATGAGATTTATTTATATATTGATTTTATTTATACAATATATATATATATATATATATATATATATATATATATATATATATATATATAAGTGATAATTGATCAAATAGTGCAATTTTTATGTACCTGAATTGTTTATGTACTTATTGTATTATTTTTAGGAAAATGCTTAACTCTTTTATTTTTTTATTACAAAGGAAGGGGGATACCCATACAATCTATGCCTACACTGAGGCTCAAAACCTAGACCTCCCACATAGGAGAGCAATCCAATACCAGTGGACCACAAGCCACCAGTTGCTTAACTCTTTTATGTTTATCACTTATACTTACAAACCATGGTCTTTATTTTTATGTACGATGCGACATGGACTTCCATGATATAATTTGCCTTTAATAGTGGAGATCAGAATCAAATTTGAAATGAAGAATCAAAAGCCACAAAAAGTTAATATTTACCTCTATTTTTCCAAAAGAATTCATTCTAATGCGAACTGGATAAAAATGAGTAAAATAGGCAGAAGAAGCAAACTGTATGAGAGGAAATGTAGGACCTGAATAAGTCGATAAACATTCCAAATTTATATATAAAAAAATATATAAATAAAATGAGATTTAATTAAAAAAAATCCCCAACAAAAGAAAGAACGAGAGAAGGGAAAAATTCAAGTTATGTGTAACACACAGTTGGTTTTACGGCTTGGGGCAATCGATCGGCGGGCTAACACTATCGTAAAATATTAGGTTACCGAATGGAATTAACTTGTGGTGAAAAAGGAGCAGGGTAACTAGATGTTATTGAAAAATCTGACCCTTTACAAGATGATCCGAGGGTATTTATACAAGGAAATAGATCCCTTATAAGGGAAAAAGGGAGAAAAAATAACTAAACAAGCTTTGGAATCTACCATAATTACCACGGTAACGGCTTAAAATGAGAAAAGGAAGTTACTTGCTGAACAAGGAAAAGAATCTTTGCAGAATCCGCCATTAACCGTCACTGGAACGCGCACTCGGTCGGAGACACCTTGACTGCCTAGCTTGGTCACCCGCCTGGGCCAGCTGAAGCACCCAGATAGGGACACTCCGACTACTGAGCCTGGTCGCCCACCCAATCTCTTTAGAGAGCTCGGTCGGAGACATACTGACTACCGAGCCTAGTCGTCCATCTGAGCCAGCTAGAAGCCCGAGCGAGGACACACTAACCAGGCGGCTTGGTCTCCCGGGTGCTCGTGCTACCGTTGCTTATGAAGGGGACACTTTCTCTTCAACTGCTAAGTGCTCTTCTGAAGTCGGTCCTCACTACTCTCCACGCTCCCAGGCTGAGTGCCTGACTAGGGGTATCTATCATACACTCTCCTTAGAAGTTAAAACCGATTTGTTACCTCACGAGGTTGCTAGGAGTGTTTTAGCGTTAGACTCTCACAATAAAATGGATTACAGTAATATGGTTGAACACTCAAGCTATATTACTTTCGGCAAACTAGAACATATGGCGAGCAATTCGAAATTTTATCGGAAGTGTTGGCAGAATTTCGTAGGAAAAGAATGATTTTCCTGGAAAATAGGAGAAGAAAATCAACAAAGTAAAATGATTCTACTGTGAGAATCAATTTTCTAATTCGTCTATTATCCATTGTGAAAATACAATATATCAATTTCGATCTTCATCTCACTACGAAGAACCAAAATTTATGTTGACCCGACTCAAATCAAAAGTGAACCCCCCAGGCCACATATTTTTATCACAAAATAGCCACTTAAAATGACATTTTTTAAAAAAATTTCCAACAATTTGAGAACTTCAAAAAAACCTTTTTGTTTTCCCTCTTCCCCTTTAGAATATCAATTTTCTTGAAAGAAAAATTCTGCTAACACTTCCAATAAATTTTCAAAATGCTCGCGTGTTGTTCTAATTCACAATAAAATTTATATTTATATATATATATATATATATATATATATATATATATATAATTCATTTTATTGACTTATTAAACTCCTACAGGAA